GACACAGTTGCAAATACTACGTAAAATTAAAACTACCCAAATAACTAATAGGAATACCTAGTACATCATTATTTTATACTATGCCAGTATATTATTATAATGAAATAATGAGCATCAGTATTATCACCCTGGTTTTTCTTTTAGCTAGACTTGAAAAACTAGCACAACTGCCCAAACCAAATTGCTTTGGGATACTTAATGAAAAACAGAGACAAAGAAAGGGGGAAATCCCAACAAATGACATTGCATTATTATAAACTTTCAAAATAAATAGACGTGGCCAGGTATTGGTGGCCCACGCCTTTCATCCGAACACTCAGGAGGCAGAGCCAGGAGGATCTCTGTGAGTTCCAGGCCAGCCTGGTCTACAGAGCAAGTGCCAGGATAGGCTCCAAAACTACACAGAGAAACCCTGTCTTGAAAAACCAAAAACCAAAACAAAAGAAATAAATGGAACTATTAACTTACCCCAAGAACTCATGGTGTATTTCTCTTATGATTGAATAAAAATTCCCAGTGATCTTGGATACCTCTGTAGGAATATTGCAATTCCACAGCAGTGACAGACATGGATAGTATAGGCAGGGGAACTGTGGATATCCTTCTTTCTGTCTTTCCCTGTACCTTTCCTTGGCTTAACTGTGGAGAGTAAGATGGTTCTTTTCAACATGAAGGTGATGTTCTGTGGAGATAATATGTACAATACCCCTTTAAAATTAGATGGAAAGCAATCAATGTGATAATAAGTATAGCATACATTACATTGAGTTTGGGAATTAAAAATCATTCCTTTAACTTTCAAGCTCTCCTAATGGTGTTTTGGTCAGAAAACAAAGAGGAAGAAGCTGGAGGGCTAGACTGATTGGGACGGATTCAGTAGATTTGAAGAAAGGATTTGCTTTTGGTAAGTCATCCTTTCTCACAGGGGCTTGCAATTCAGGTCAGGTGGTCCGTGTCCAAATCACACGGAAGCTGAGCATTGCACTAGGAGTGACAGACTAAATAGGGAATTGAACAGTGTGGGAGGCAGTATCTATCCATCTGGAACTAGCAGCCCAAGACAAGAATTGCCTCAGGATCTGCAATTTAGATGCTAAACATGAAGATCCCTCCTAAAACACAACAGAAAATCTTGGTTCGAAAATTCCAGAAGAGCATAGTTGTAGCGAATGTTACACTAACACTGACTTTCTGAGTAGTGGTCCATGAAAGAGCAGAGATATGGCGTCTAAGATAAATATTAAGCATCTGGGCAGCTATTTCTTCGTTATGATTCCAGAGAAACTCAAACTTTACGAGTTTTAAGCATATTGATCAAATTGACAATGGCAAACTAGTGGCAGCAGACCTTGAAAGGGAAATGTTATGAGTCACAGTAAACGTTACTGCAACTGGGAAACAAAGACACCTTTAATGGAATATTAGTCTAATTCATGTTTTAGTCCCTTAAATATTTCCTATGCTATTATGTAAAAGATTCTTTCCCAAGAAATTTTGGCAGTTTTTGGTGTGTTTTGTTTTCATGTACACAAAACTCCTACAGGGAACTGGCCAGCATAGTAACCAAAGTGTTAACACTCTATGCCACTACTCTGTCAACAGAAGTGGGAGATACATTTAAAAAAATATCTTTTATGGCTTTCCAAAATAAATGTTCCCATAATTATTATAAGAAACATTCTTATCCTTATTCTCCTTAACAAATGACAAAGTTAAATTCTCCATTAAGTAATTTATTCAAGGTCATCAATGTAGTAGGTGGCTGAATTCAGACTGTATTTGAATTTCTTTTGTTCCAGAGTGTGTTCTTTGCATTGTCATGAATTGTGCAGCAAACAAGCTAATTAAAATCTTCTATAATAGCAGAACCACACACTGATAAGATATGCCTCTTTGGTTAATATTGGGAATGTTAAAATCTGAAGTACTGGTCATTTGGGCTTTATGATTAGAGCATATTTTAAAAACCTATGTGAAAGCTGACACCCATTCTTTGGAAGTATAAATAACATCTTATAAATACTTAAGTGCTAAGACAAGACATGTTTCCTCATATAGTTACCATACTTGGTGCTTTCTGCTCTACTGTACATATCCACATTTTTCCGTCACTTTTCTATATGACTAATGAATTTTATCTTTCTTATATAGTGTGGATCTAAAAAATCACTTTCATTTCCACACTAAAAAAATGTTTTTATTTACCCATCATTTTGAAGACTGTTAGTTGCTTATAGAAATCAAGGTAGATTTGACTTTTTAAGAAGTATTTTATAAGCCAGGCATTGGTGGTCCACACCTTTAATCCCAGCACTGGGCAGACAAGGGCAGGTGGATCTCTATGAGTTCGAGGCCAGCCTGGTCTACAGAGCAAGTTCCAGGACAGGCTCCCAAACAATAGAGAGAAACCCTGTTCAAAAACAAACAAGCTAACTAAACAACAAAAATTTACAGTTGTTCTACCATTGTTTTTTTATTGCATTATTCCTAACCAAAAAATCCCTATTGTCATTATTTTTTGTTTTTCTACATGTAAAGTTCTTCCTTCTCCTGCCAATTGTCTATGGTATTTTCTTTTTTTAAATCGGTCTTGAATAAAGTGAAGTAATTATGGTATGCAGTGGTGGTTTTTTTCATGTTTCTTGTATTAGGGCAGTGGTTCTCAACCTATAGCTTGCAACACTTTAGGGGGATCCAATGACCCTTTCACTAAGGTCATCAGAAAACACGGATATTTAAGCTATGATTCATAACAGTAGAAAAATTACAGTTATGAAGTAGCAACACAAAAAAACATTCTGATTGGGGGTCACCATAGCATGAGGAACTGTATGGTCACAGCATTAGATAGGTTGAGAACCACTGTTAAGGGCTTTGGAAATTTGGGGATTTATCATGAGATTTCAATTTGGAGTTTTTTGTTAGTATTCATTTGTTTCTGCTTTCTTTATTTCTTTGTCACTCATTCAGGAACTCTATTTACAAGTATATCAAGTTGTAAGAACACGTGTCTCAGCTCACTGTTGATTAGCCTGTGTTATTTTATTTTTTAATAAGATGCTCTGTGGCTCATTTTGGATGGTTTCTATGTTTTAAAGCTTATTGACTTAATTTTCATGTTCAATCTGCTTTTGAGGCAATCTAATTTCTCATAGTTCAATGTAATATGTCCATCTTCATAAGGTTGGCTACTCTTTGTTTCTCATCTCTAAATAATGGCTTCTTGGATATTTGTTTATAGCATAAAAATGGCTCTTTGGATATGTTGTTCAACATTCACCATAACCTAATTTTAGAGCTTTTTTTTAATTAACCCCACTTTAAAGAAACTCTTTATTCCTTTCCAGTTCTTCTCATTAATTTGTCTGTACCCTACTTCCTGTCCACTCTCCCATTCCTTGGTTAAGTATTAATCTACTTTCTACTTTCATAGACTTGCCTTGTTTGGACATGCCAGATAAAAGGAATAATAAAATCTGCTAAGGGTTTTTCATACCTGATTTCTTTCCCTTCATTCTTTTCAAGGTTCTTTGCTAGTTTACCATATATGAGGACACCTTTCTTTGTTATTGCTGATTTGTATTATGTTGGCAATATATGCATATAGTTCTTTTCACTCCCTATATCATGATGTCTTTTCCTACTTTTGGTTCTTACAGACTTTGGGCATTGTATGCATTTCGTGTTTATGCTTTGATTTCTTTTGTAGTTATACTTGGGAAATTATGGCTTATTCCATAATTCTATGTTTAACACTTTGAGGAAATGTTTCGTTGTTTGCAAAAAACGTGTCATTTTGTACTCCCAACAGCAACATGAAAGATCCCCTTTCTCACGTTTGTACCACACCCTGCTTCCTGTTAACTCTACTTATTCTTTGGAACATGAAGATAGATTTGCTTACAGCTGCTTCTCTGCTGTGTTTATAGCATCCATTTCAATTCTCACGTGACTTACTTTTCTAGCAATGAACTTTCTTTCAATGCTTGGTAACAAGCAAGTGAAGATCAGATAAGGTAAAATGAACATAATGCTTGGTGACTTGCAACTTCATATTCAATATTACGGTTTAGTCTGTCACATATTTAAGTGACTGATAAATCTCCTTCTTTTAATCTGCTAGGTGGCACTACATCCGTGCTCAGGCAGGGTCAATTCCTATTGTCACTCCCAGGGCAACACTTCTTAGGCGTCTATCTATCATCTCACCACAGATAATGCATTAAAAAAAAAATCTTACTTTACTTATTTAGTTCCCTCTCCCTCCTGTCCTCCCGTTTGCTCCAACTTCTTCCCACCCCAGTATCCACTCCTCAGAGGGTGAGACCTCCCATAGGCAATCAACAAAGTCTGTCAATCCCAATTCCTGAGGGGTAGGAGGTAACTGATACCGACTCTGCTTAATCTCCAAGCACCTGAAACAACCCCTTCAGAAATTTCCTTAGATGTTTCTCAGGACTAGGCTGAAAATTTCAGAAACCTGCTGGCCCTGGGTTATCTAGGAGCAGCCTGTTCTCACCACCCCCACCCCTGTACCCTGTGGACAGTAAGTAGCCCCTCAAATTCAGCTGTATCTCGTCAACACAGGAGACCCAGTTCATCGTGCGGTCGTCTGTGATAATGTCTTTAAAAGCACGACTATTTGAACTCTCAGGACTTATAAGATCAATATTCTTCAGCCCTACCTCCTTTCTTTGGCAGTGGTAAATTTTAAAAAGAGAGCGTGAAATGTAAAAACGTAAAAATAACAAAAAATGAAAAATAAATAAATAAATAGATAGACAAATAAACAAACAAACTCTTCGCAGCCTGAGGCCGCTACCACTGCTCGCTGTGCCCCACTCTTCTGGCTGTCAGCGACCAGGACTTCCTATCGCGCAGGCGCAGAACCTCCAGCCCGCCCACAGAATCCAGACACAGCTGCGCGTGCGTGCGCCAGGGGCGGGCCGGAGTCGGCACTCGGGCCAATGAGAACAAGTTTATGGTTCTTAGTCTCCCGCCCACTAACCCAGCAGCCAATCGCTTGCCTAGGCGCGCAGTTGAGGAGAATCCAAACGCGCCGAGCGCTGCTGAGCGATGGAGGCTGCGGAGAGCGGGGCTGCTGCATCGAGCGAAGAGTGAGTATGGGATGCGGGCGGCTGGGGCCGGCGGTTTAAGAGCGCAGTGTCGCCCTAGTTTAGGAGTGCGACCTCCGACAGACGGTTTCGCTTTTAATTCAGGGGTTTAGCCCTGAGGGACGGTGTCACCTCAATTCGGGAGAGTGCAGATTCTGAGGGACTGTGACAACCTGTCTCTGGAGTTGCTGTCTGTCGGGGGCTCTGTGTCACTCTGCTCCAGGAGTGTGGCTTCTGGGGGACTTATTTCTCTGTTCGAGGAGTGATACCTCTGGGTGGCTGTTGTAGGTCACCTTGTGTCAGGTGCTGCCTCTGAGGGACTGTCCCTTTGCCCACCCAGGGCCCTAGGGTGTATTCTGAAAGAGTCAGTCAGTTCCGTTATATGTCTCCTTATCCCCCAGTACTCCTGATGACTGTCCTTGTGGCCCTTAGTTACCATCGCTTGTTCTCCAGGCACATCTTAGTCTTTGGTCAAGTTGGGACTCTGAGCAGTGTCACAGCCCCCTGTTGTAGAATGTTATTTTAACTAGGCAACAATGTGTTACATTTCTTTATACTGTGAATATTACTTTAACTGGGTAAAGGTGTGTTTCATTTGTTTAGTTTATGTAAAGATGTGTTCTGTTTCACCTTGCTTGTTTGATTCACCTGATTGGTCTAATAAAGAGCTGAACAACCAATAGCTAGGCAAAGAAGGGATAGGTGGGGGTGGTGGTCAGAGAGATTGAGGAGGAGAAATCTAGAGAACAGAAGAGAAGGAGGAGGAGAAGAGAGGAAAAAATGAGGGTGAAAGAGAGGGAGATGCACAGGGCCAGCCACGCAGCTGCCAGCCAGCAGACACACAGTAAGACAGAAAGAAAGAAGGTAAAAAGCCCTGAGGCAAAACATGGATGAAGATAAACAGGTTAATTTAAGTTAAAGAAAAAAAAAAAAGCTAGCCCCAAACAAGCATAAGCTAAGGTAGAGTATTCATAACTAATAAGTCTGTGTGTCACTATTTGGGAACTGGTTGGTGGCCCAAAAGCAAGTCTGGTACAGTCCCCGACATAGATGCATGTGCGCCTATCTTAGAGCCAGTGTGCTATGATAACATGGCCTCACTTGTTTTCCGCAGGGTCCTGGCTGAGGTAGCAGGCATTCTAGAACCTATAGGCTTGCAGGAAGAAGCAGAGCTGCCCGCTCGGATCCTCGAGGAATTTGTGAGGGTATGTGTAAGGTGGGACCCAGCTTTTCAGGTAGTAGAGGCTGGTCCTAGGATTGCCTATTGCAGTAGCAGGCAGCACTGGTGAAGAACAAAATGGAAGACAATCTTGGTATATAGTGCCCAAAGGTAAGGACAGTCTCTGCTTCTGTCCCCACTCTGAACAGAACTCTCGGAAGAAAGACAAGCTGCTCTGTAGCCAGCTTCAGGTAGTGAACTTCCTACAGAATTTTCTGGCTCAGGAAGATACTGCCCAGAGCCCAGACACTTTGGTTTCTGAAGACACAAGTCGTGAGTAGGCTTGGGTTTGTGGTAGGGTTTGGTCTGAATGGTTAAAGAGGGAAAATGTGAGTTAGATCTGCGTCTGGCCTAGTGTTATAAAAGGCTAGCTGCAAGCCAGCCTCACTCCAGCTCTCATTCTGTGTGGCCTGTCTTAGGAAGGAAGGCAACTGAAGCTAAAGAACAATGGAAGGAACTGAAGGCCACGTACCAGCATCACGTTGAAGCCATCAAATGTGCCCTGACTCAGGCCATACCCCAGGTAGAAGAGGCCCAGAGGAAGTGCTTGGAGCTCCAGAAGGCTTATGAGCATCTCCAGGCTAAGGTACACCTAGAAGACTTAAGAAAATGAAGGACGGGGGAGGGAAGGGTAAGATGAGTAGGACTCAGGTACTGTCTCCAAAATCAAACCTAAGAAACCATCATTTTCTCCCCTCAGAAGCGAGTAGTTGCAGAGAAACGGGAAGCAGCCCAGAAGAAATGGCAGCTGCACCAGGTGGGCTCTTTTCTCTAGGCTCCCTCTGCCTCAGAGTGATATGGTACCTCGTTCTGTCATCGAATCTGAGCCCTGAGCTCTATCTAAGCAGGGGATGTTGGGGGTGTGGCTCCAAGATAGCAGCATTAGATGAGTCATGTCTTCACTCTCATACCACCCCTACCCCGCCCCCCTCAGAAGCATCTCCAGTGTCTGGCAGAGTTATCTGCAGAGGTCAAGGAACTTCAGGTGAGAACCCAGCAGAAGCTTGACCGATCGAATCAGGAACTTGAAATCTTGAAGCAGCAAGCAGTACGAGAACAAGATAAGCTGCAGAGGTGAGGCTGGAATCTTGGGATGAACACTCAGGCAGTCTATGTGATCCTCTTGTCACTTCACACAAACTCTGTCCTTTCAGGAACCAGACCTACCTTCAACTACTGTACACCCTGCAGAATAAGCCACTGGTCCCCGAGGCCAAGGCTAAGGACAGAGATATCACCAGAACTGCCCTTCCATCCGAATCTCTCTAAGGTAAGCTCCATCAGCTGACTGAGGAGCAGAGCAGGGAAACCTTGGAGAGACAGTGGTATGCCCTGTAAGGTGAAGTAGAGTTGATTTGGCAGGTGCAAAGGGGAGCTGGGGACTTGCTCTGACTCATTGCCCAGATTACACATCACCAGGCCAAAGGCCACTGACCCACAAGTGATGGCTTTTTGAGTGATAGCGGTGTGCACAAAGGTCCTCCATCAGGTAGAACCCAAATCAGAATTCAGTGTCCTTTAACCACAAAGTTGAATGGAAATCGTCTACCCCTAAACTCTAAATCTGGGGGAACAGGAAGTGGGAGGGTATGAAGAACATGACCATAAGACCTTCTGTTGTGTTGATGAGGCTGGGACCACAGCCCACTCCCAGTGACACAAAAGGCCCATATCCAAAAGGCCACATCTCCTAATCCTTCTGCAAATAGTTCTAACAACTAGGGCCCAAGCATTCCAAGAACAGAGCTTATGGGGTCCATGCTCATTCAAAGAACCACAGAGTATAAAGTCTGTATGGCTTGAATCATGTCGTTTCATCCTCAAGGTGTTGCCTCATATTTTTCTGACTCTTATTGTTTCCTATGACAGTTCAGCTGTACATTCGTTTCAAAGCTCTTTCTATGCTGTGCTCTTCTGTATTTCTTTTTTTAACTTTATCAAGGTAAAATAGAAGAACAATGTATAGTATTAAGGTATACAACCTGTTTTGATATATGCACATTTTGTGAAGTGATGAAATCAAACCCATTAATATTTATTACTTGACACACTTTTTCTGCATTGAGAATACCCAAGATCCATTGTCTTAGCAGTTCTTAAGAGTGCAATAAATCAGCTGGCTACTCTGTTATTCACAGTAGACCGCCACAACTCATTCATGGCTTCTCACTCCTGCTGGCTGCTCACAGACAAAGAATCCTGTGTTTTCTACTTTGTCATTTTATTATATTCTGAGTAGTTTAGGATTTACTCTTACTTTCAATTAATTAATCAATTACTGGCCTTTCAGAAGTTCTAGAATATTCTCATCCTTGTCTCTTTAAAATGTACTGTTTTGTAATTCTAAAGGAGCATCTAGTTTTTTTTAATGTCATTGTAATTTTATGTTGCTATAATCATTCATCTGTTTTTTTTTTTTGACTTTTAAGTTTCATTTTAAGATATTATATTAGAGCTCAGTATACTGTATTATTTTTCTGTCTTAGAATGGTGCACTCAGAAATCTTGTCATCACTGTTGGCTAGGTTACTAGTTTATACTTTTGTACACTACCAATATCACGTGCTCCCATTTATGTTTGAGTAATCTTACTGTGAGCCCTCTGTTTCCTGTCCTTTGTCTTTGGCAACACTTTGTGCCTCCTGCATGGTTGAAAGGATTCTGCCAGCAGCTCCTGGCTACTTTCATTGCTAACTTGTAAAAGTTTTAAAGGACATACTTTTCCTCTTTTTTACATCTATATGCTACCCTAGTTTATGTTCTTGCTGTCTGGATGGTTTTTCCCTTTCTCATTAGTACTTCTCAAGGGGCTTTCATTTCTATTATTTGTCTTTCCAAACTCTAGCTTTAGATAAAGGTAGAACACTTGCTTAGTGTGTACAAGGCTCTACATTTAATCCATAGCTCCATAAAACAAGGGAAATGACAGAACACTTTAAACCTGGCTTTTTTACTGCCTTTTTGTTTTTAAATTCTTTTAACTCAATTTTTTTAATTGTCACTTCCTTTCTCGTGGCATATATTTTTAATACTTGCATAATTTGCACAACATTTGGTAGATGAAAACTAAATGTCCTTTCTTCCCTGTGTAGGGTTGTATATTTTATTGAGGCATTATAATTTTATACATTTGTTTCTTCCAAACTTAGGAACCCTAAAGTATACTAAATTATCAGTCATAACATTAGAAACTGCTGCTCACTCTGAAAATGGACAATCTTGTTTCATACCCTGTTGGTCCTCTCTCGTCTTATGGCCTTTTTGAGATGAATACATTCCACACCTATCTTACAGATTCTGTGTAACTTGCATTAAAATGTCTCATTCTTTGAGCTTCTTTGTGTCTTTTTTATGCATAAGTTTTGAAATACTACTGGAGTGTGAAATCAAGTACATTGATTTGATCATTATTCATAGCCCAATCTCTGAGTGACCCATTTGACACATAGATTGTTGGGCTCGGAAAAGCTTACTGTTTGGATTCATAGTCTATTAACTAACAAACATGATTCATTGAAAAACACTTGGGACTAGAATCAACATCGCTTATGTTTTTTTGAAGCCTTTTCCAAATTTCTTTTGAAAACCATGAATTATCCTCCTATGGTTGAATTATTAACAACTTTCTAAAAGAGATTTTTTTTTTCCTTAGCGATACATCATCTTCCACTTTGTAGGCCAGAATGCCCTTGAATTCATATCCTTTTGCATCAGCCTCCTCATGGCTGGGATTATAGCTGTTTGTCAACACATCTTGCTAAAAAACCTCTGCATGGAATCTATAATATATGAAGATTAGTACCATATTTTTGTATATCTATCAAATTCTGACAGAATTTAACTAGTCCAAAAAGTTTTTAATACTAAATTTTTTGTATTGTTGTATATCTCAGCCCTAGTTTATATTCTACATGTCTGTGGAGAGAAAATAGCATCTTGAAAAAGAGCCTAATCTCAATATATATGAATCCTGGGTTAACCTGCTCAGATATTGTAGTATTAAATGGGTATTTTAAAATAGTCTATTTAATGAAGCATAGTATTATATCTTAGTTTTGTTGTAGTAACTCCACAATTGTTAGAAATGTGCTGTTTCTAATTCAAAAACCTCTATTCATAACAATAGCTGCATTGCCTATTTCAGTGTGCCATCCATGTACAACTTGAGAGGAAATAAGAGCAGGAAGAAATGTAAGCTGAGGCTGTGTGTGTATTATTGTAGAAGGGTATGAGGGGAGAGAGAATACCCCATCTCACAGCAACCAGGAGAGGAGGGTGCACGTAAGCCTGTGTGCGTATGCTGATAAGTACAAACAGAACTATACCCCAGTGACCCACATCTTCCAATTAGGACCCACGTCCCATTCAGCTGTATTGATCCATTGGTATTAATGTAAAGCCCTCATGATCCAATCAGCTTTCTACCACCAAATCAGGTCCTAGGTCTTAGCATAGGAGCCCTTTTGTGGTCATATCTAATGTATAACAACAACTATAGATTGTATATCTTTTGAGGGAAGTTAAACAGAGGTTTCATATGTAAAGCATAACTTGTTTTGCATCTAATTAAATTATTTAAATCAAATGTATCTTTGGAAATTGATATTCCCAAAAGTAGAATGTGATTTAAGGTAAATATTGGTTTCAAATTACTTTTCCAGAAAATACAAACATGTTTAACATGTTTTTGTATTTCGTTTGACTTTGTAAAGTTAGTTATGAAGCTGGTGCATTTTGTTTGCTCTAGGTGTCTAGTCTAATACAGAAGAGTTTTATGAGTGTATAAAATTATGTCTAGGTGTGTACATATGTAGTGTGTCTGGGAACTGTCAGGCATCTTCCTTATTTATTCTGCTAATTTTCTAAAATCTTGTTTCTGTCAAAGACACCTGGAAACTACAGAAATCTTGTCTAACTTCATTGCAGTCTTGAATACTATCAACAGTTTACTGGGTTTCTTTTTTACTGCTTGGTTCAATTTTTAATTTTGTGTCAGGTGTCATGTTCGCATTCAGTGCTATAGTGAATGTCAAGAAATGTTTGTTCTTGGAAGTTTTTCTCAATTTAAAACCATTAAAGCTTTATAAATATGTGTTTTATTCAGTTGAAGTATATATAATGTTTCGTACATGGCTAATGGATAGTATAAGCAAAAGCATTAAGTAGGATGCATTTTCTTCAGGTATAGCTATCTTCACAGGAAGCAAGTGTAGATAAAGTGTCTTCATTATTATGACAAATCCCCTAGAGCTTTCCATAATGCCTCATGATGTCCTCAGTTCCTTCATTTGTAATTTCTCTGACCTCTTAATGCATTCTGTATTAACAGATTTCCTATCGGGTTGGCTGAAATCTTTCTTGGTTTCACTTTTCTTGCCTATTGAGTAAGAAACCAAACAGATCTCTCTCAACACTCTGAACACTGGCTTTCTTAGTGATTAGTAATGAGTGGACAGCCTGTCTCTGGAAACACTGACAAGACTTGCTTAATTATTTAACCTATGTTATCCTGTGTATTTCTGCCATGAAAATCATTCTTTGAAGGTAAACAGAGGCTCTGTGAACATTACATTTCCCATAAAGCAATGGTCCTTTGAAAAACTTTACAGTTCATGAACTAAGGCAGTGAAGAGGTGAGGTAACTTCTAATATAATCATGGGGGAGAAAAATTCAAGTAACCTTGAGTACAACAATCTTTGACTGTCTATGGTAAAATTTTATAGTTTAGATTAAAGGGTGCTACAATACTATTTTGTGTGCCATATGTTTTTTTTTTTTTTTTTTTTCAATTTGATCCCATGGTAGAAACTGTTCCATATACGGGGGTTATCTCTCAGGGCCAGTGTCAGCTCCCATCCCTGTAGTGATAGGGCCCTCGGTAGTCAAGTAGTCAGTCCAGTCTTTTTCCTAATGACACAAGTGGAAAACCATCACTTTCCTACTGCATCGACCATCTAACCAGTATTGATTAGCAGACATTTTCCACAGGAAGTGATTTTGCTTTATTAATGTAAACTACGTATTCCCAGGAAATATGTGACTACTCCCTGGAACTTGAGTAGATCAAGAAAGTATCTTAGAAATGGTGAGGTATGAAACATATCTTCGTAGAAGTAATGTTTTATCAATGAAGCTTTAAAGTGTATTTTAAGCACAATAAACATTTGGATTCCAGATATAAGAGAGATGGCATAAATATTTTGATGAACAGTAAGATGTTTGGCTGGGGAGGACATAATAGATGGGCTTGTGCAGCCAGGAGAGAACAT